AAATGAACTTTTAGTTTACTTAAATCTTTGTTTGCCATGTTTAGAGGCTATTAATGTATTTAAGAGCGACAGCAATTTGTTACTGGCTGCTAGGTGTAACAAAAAATATGTTTTTAAAAACAAAAAATAAAATACCTTATTTTTATGCTGAGTACTTTTTTTTAACCTTTTAGTCGAGAAATACTTTATATAAAGCCTGCAAAGGTGGCAACCCTAGTCGCGACACAGTGCGACTAACTAGGTCAAAGGCAGTTACACACACAAATGTAAATTGCTGAAATGTTCTTTGCCATTTGAACCAATGTAAATAGTTTTGTATAAATAGCGTGTAAATAGTCAAATAAATCAGTCTAACACCAGGCTCGCTATTATTAGATACTGCAACAGTATCAACCCCTGAATACCGCAAGTGTATCAACCATCGGATGCTGTACCAGTGCTACCACCCATCATAGACACAGCAATGTGTTCAACCTCGTTGGAAATCGATTCTTCTCAGAACCACAACTTTTGTTAGTCACATCTCATTACTACGACAGTGGCTACAAAACAATTGCTTTTACATATCTCCACAAAAAGAATCATCATTAGCCTCCACGACCGCCTGACTTAACTCCACCGAATTCCTTGTTTTGGGGATCTGTCTCCATCTCCAACTACACTATAAAATACGAAAGAGTGCTTTACTGAAGCTTGAAGAATCATAGCTCCGAGATCCACAAGTGTTGCTGTAGACTCATCAGAAAAGAATACCTTCTTGAAAACAATTGAATGACTTGTTTAAGTAATTTATTATTAAACCAGCTGATAAAAGTTATAATCAAACAATAATGTCAATAACAGTAACAAGGAAAGCAACAATTACACATTAATTAAAGTCTGTCTATTTGCTAAACGAGTTCTTTCCACAATTCATCTGGATCATATTTAGCGGTCAAAGCTTTATATTGATCTGGCTTTTTAGTTAGTAAGAAGTTCAATGCCTTTTTCGCTTGCTCCTTTTCATCCTTCGTACAATTAGCACATCTGTTGGCGACAGCTTTTGGAATCAGTTCTGCAAATAGCACAATTAGTACAAAATAAACGATCAAAATGCCTGGAAATAATATTATTAGAAACACACGTTATAGAAGAAAATTATGATAATTACATAAGTATTATAATATTTTAATATTGTATTTTTGCATGAACAATGTGTGCTCTAGCGATTAAATATTCTAGTAAAACATAAGAAAAATTATATCTTCTATATTACCGTATCTATTGTTTGATAACGTGTATGTAAATTCATTATTATGATAAACCAACTACAAATACCAAGCAAACAGAAAAGCTAAGAAGGATTGACTTAATACAATTTAACTGAACTATTCAAAAGGAGAAAGCTTTAAAATTTAAAAATATTTTTTGCATTTCTGCATCAATTGGTAGATTTCTTACTCGTTCACCTACTATTACCCATCATCATGGAGAAAATGAAAAAAGAAAAATTACCTAAATATTAAAGCGCTATTTACAATTTATCCCACTAGTCTATTGCTTCGTAACCGAAAATAATTAAAATTACAATTTGAACCCGAATTTGTAAAAATAAAATCCCAGCAGAAATAAATTTACTAACAATAAGTATTTTAGTTGATTTTACAAACCAAATTATAAAAATTAAGAAAATTAAAATAATTATTAAACAAAACATGTCAAAATTGAAATTATTATGTTACCTAATAAATCCTACTATTTCTACGGCAAATTTAGTCATTTATATTCGAAAATTGTAATTTTTGCATTGTCATAAAAAATTAGTTTTTTCCATGTAGCGATTTTGTAATTGAGATTAAAGAGTAAATATCTAAACTAAAACTATGCCGGACTACAGTCTACTTCTAAACACGACTTTAAAACAAACCTCCCCATACGCTATAAATGTTTAAGATTAATCAAAGAAGTCATATAGGGGGCATATTTAGAGCCTAAAGCTGCAGAACAATGTATTAAATAACATGCATACCACATTAATGCGTATTTAAACATTAACATTGGTTTGCACAAAAAAAAACAGCATCTCAGAACAACCTTTTGTAGTCTATTATTTATTTCAATACAAGACAAGACCCTACTAAAAACTTATTGGCGGACAGTTTTCTCGAGTGCAAGAAATTAGCATAGTACCTAAATGTTGTTGGTTAAAAAATCATATAATTTGTAACATTTTTTAACAATCCTACAAGAATAATTTAAAGTAATGACCAACATTTGTGGATTTTGGAGATATGTTATAAACTGTGGGAACACTCGGTATAGCAAGAAACAATTCTAAGGTCTAAAAAAAAAACATTTGGGTGTTTCATTCCCACCAGCCAGTATAGCTGGTGGGCGGGCAGTTCCTCCGGATNATGCGTGATTTTCCACTTTATTTAATATTTATTTTTTATTTCCAGGGTGGCGGTTAAATTATTAAACAAATTGTTTGTTTTTGTTACGTTTCGGTTTACTTAAACCATCTTCAGACATTCTGTTTACTTAATAATAATAAAATAATCTTACGAGAAAGAATGTTAAACATTTTAAGTTAAAATCTGTGTCAACTATTAATGCTTCAAAAAGTCTGAAGATGGTTTAAATAAACGGAAAAGTAACAAAAAATAAATAATTTGTTTAATTATTCGTCCGCCACCCTGGAAATAAACAATAAACATTAAAATTAACGGTTAAGAATTTACTTTACTTAATTGTATTGTACAAATTTTGTCTTTGATTAAAAAAAATATGTTGATTTAATCGTAAAAGATTCTCGAAAAAAATTCGGGCGAAAATAATTTAGTATTGATGGTAGTGGTAATGGAAATTTTAGTTGACTGGTCTATTATACAATTTTGTTATTCATTTTAAATGCAACTTAATTTATCACCAACATTTACATAAAGTATATTTGTAACATTTATTTATTCATTTTTATTCTAATGTAAAGGCTGACACTGTGAAGATGGGTCTATGAAATCAATTGAAATCCAGTTTGCATGACGTTAATTTTATCGTAATAGATTGTCAGATAGTCTCAAAAAAAAAAAAACAATTTTTTGCAAATAAGAGATTGACAGTTCTACTATTACAAATCGTTTACCATTTGATGGTTCTTCTATTTGATAACCAAATATTGCGAAGAAGAAATGACAGATTGAAAAACATTGTTAAAAATCATTGGCTTTTTTTAAAAGTTTATCCGTGTTTGCGTACACCTAAAATTAGTATGCCAATAGTTTAAAATGTCATATTTGTTTTAAAAATTTACACAATTCAAAAGGCAAACTCTAAAAAATTGTTCCTTTATAAGAACAAAATTTATTAATCGACTAATATGTTTTTGATATATGTACACAGGCAAATCGTCTGCCTTGTGAAATTTTTCAAATCTTATGCGAACATTAAGTACTTTAAATTATTCTTGACAGACAGTTAAAAATTGTTGCAAATTACATGATTTTTATACAAACTAATATCACTATGGTAAAATCTTGCGCTCGAGAAAATCGTCTGCCAATAAACGTTTAAAATATTGTAGAGTATTGCCTTCTATTGGAATAAATGGCTGTAAAAAGTTATTCTGAAAAGCTGTTTTTCTGAAAAAAGTAATGTTAATGTTTAAATATGCATTAATTCTAATGTTAATTATGTTATGTAATACATTATTCTGTAGCTTGTGGCTGTAAATATGTCCCTTATCATTGACAGACTGTAAAAAATTGTTCTTTTTTGTTGCTATCTGACAGTCTATAGCTTAATTTACAATTTACAGATCATCATCATCATCATAAGATCTTTAGCCCAAAGACTGGTCAGGCAAACACCTCCACTCTACTACTTCCTATCTTAATTCAATCTTTTCAAATTTTTCGGAAACAAGAGCAGCCTACATATCTACAGGGTGATTCAAAACGGTCTTAACTTGCTCAACACTTCGTCAGATGTGCTTGGACGACCTGATCATTTATTATGTGTTACCGAGCAACCTGTTTCTACAAAACATTTATGTCACTCACTCAGAAGGATCATTAGCCCATTTTGTACGGAAATTACGTTAATTGTTGTCGCCGATTTTGATTCTTTAAACCAAAACACAGCGCTCGGGTCCAGTGAAGGCAGCCATCTTTAACGAAACTGGCGCTAGCGCTCTCGTTACGGTGCCATTTGGTACTAGAACTACATGAGTCAAAATTTGATGTTTCCCTACAGATTACCACTACAGTCAGTTCTGTAAATTCTCTGAAAAATTTTATATGACTTCAAAATTGTGAAGTCCTTTTTGAATCACCCTGTATCTTGGAACATAAATCTAATCTAGAACTACCTCTACGCCTTCGGACTCTTGTTTCTGACGCTTTTGACAAGTCTTTTACGAGCCCTTTATGCAAGAGAAGATGTCCCAGTAACCTATCTCGACTATTTCCTATTGACTTTTATAACTTCCTCTCTTTTATAACACGGCATCTTAAACTCTTATTAATTTTTGCTGATTAATTAATTTATTACGGATTTTATTTTTTTAATTAATAAGTGACATGTACGTTCTAATTTTCTTATATAGCACTTGTCACATGAATTATATGATATTTTATAGGTAAACACCAGATTTGTTTCTATTGTCGACAATACCTTTAATTTTTATTAATGAAAAATAGACCAAACAGGAGTTTTATTAAAATCTAGAATATTAACTTTAAAAAAAAATTCACCAGTATTCTAGAACAATATTTTTAATATCTATTCGTTAGAAGCAACTACGAATTATTAACTCATGCACTGAAATCATTAGTTTCTCTTTAAATTACGTATAATTTACTACTCTAGTATGTATTTACTAAAGTTACAACTTATTAAAGCAAACGCTAAGTCATATTTTTCTTACTACGAATAATTTTGTTAAAATAATTCACCCATATATAAAATAGATAACAATGAATCAAAAATAAAAATATCGTTCATTATGTTTGTTATAAAACATAAAAAACATTTGATTGTTTTAGGAAATTTGAATTCCAATATTTCATGAAACTAAAGAAAAAAGTGATAATCTCTACTTCACTGGACATTAGAGGTTGTACGTTTTATTTTTTGGAGATTATAAAGCAACGAAAGTTTTGGATAATTTTATGAAAAAAGGATGAATAATTCCTAAGTAATTAGAAAGCAAAGATAATTTGGTGTCAACTGACAATTTCTTCAGAAACAGAAAGTAAAGATGCTGAATACTTTTAGGTTTGCTAGTTTTCTGTTACTTACATTTTGAAATATACGTATGTACAATTTTTTTTGATGCTGATATATTTCAAAGCATTTTTTGTTTTAACTTAACAAAAAAAAACAACAGAAATAAATGTCTCTTACGTTTAAGTCTTGAAGCCTCCGCAGTGCATGGTCCCTGGTCCATAAGGCACTTAAAATAATTGTTGAAAAGTCGGTCATTGTTAAGCACTTCGTCGACGTTGATATTCCTTAATCGACTACCACTGTCATCGGCAAAAATCATAGCAGTGATTGCAAAAATGCAACAGAGCGATACGAGAGATCGACTTGTCATCTTGATTGCTTCAGGAAACACTTCGTTATATTAATCCGGCAGATTGATTTCAACTTTATATATATACGTACATTTTACACGTACGAGTGGCGTCAAAAGAAGGAAGTTTTTGTTAGCAAATGGAGGGATTTCACATCAAGGTATTCCAAGAAATAATAACCCACATCTATCAACTCGAATTAAAGTGTTTATTGCTGGCCACTTACGTTTATTTTCAATTATAACAAAAAAAAGAACGAGAAGGACTTTATTACCCACAGTTAAGGTCCAACAAACGAATTTATTATTCGTTCAAAAATGTCGAACATCAGGAAAAAAATGTATAATACTATGTATATGTTTCACTGGTCTATTTATATTCCATGCACAAACAAGGTCGATTTCAGGTTATACGATATACATTTTAAAAAGCATCGATTGTAACTATACCAGAACGCTTTTATTTATTTATATTTTTGGTGTACATCTATTTTTTTTATTATTTTTAATATTTAATTAATCGCTGTACATAAATGGCCTACATTCGTAAAATTTCTACATTTAATTTAATTAATGTAGATCTTTTTAGCAATTCAATATTGAAATAACCATTAGTGATTTAATTTTGAATTAACTATTAAAACTAATAATAACATGATAATTCTAGTTAAGAAAAATGAGATAAAAAAGGCCATTTATAAAAAGTAAACATTGAAGTTTATTCTACGTTTTCTCCACAAACTTCCTCAACTTGAACCTCTCAAATGCAACCAGTTACCTTCAAGTTATAGAAAATTGAAGTTAAAGAAATTTTCTTTTTTTCTTATTTTTAGAAGAAGTGACTAATTTTATCTATTTAGGAAGTCAGACAATTCAGGATGGAAGGAGCAGTACACATATAAAACAGGGGATAGCGCAGGGTCGAGTCGCCTTCAATAAAAGGAACTCACTTCTATCTTTATTGTTAATCTAGAAATCGAAAAAGATTCTTAAAGGTGTAGGGCAGAGCGCGACACTGTACGGGTGCGAAACATATACGGTGGGCGTAATGGAAAAGAAAAAATTAGAAGCTTCGATGAAATGTGGTGTTGCAAGTGAATGATGAGGATAGAGAAGGTTAGAAGTGAAGAGGTATTAGATAGAATAGGAGAACTTTATGAAAGTTAATCAGAAATAGGTAAGATAGGTTGGTAGAAGTTGGTAAGTCAGAGACATTTTAGAAGCAGAAACATGAGTAGAGGTAGACCTAGATTAGATTACAGTTCAGTAGTAGTTAAGGATGTGGGATGTTCTAGTTTTAGGGAACTTCAAAGATTAGCTCATGATAGGAAAGAGTGGAAGTGCTTGTCTTAGGGCTGACGACCTTATGATGTTAAACATCCCTTCAATTATACTACTGTTATTAAGTCAACTTGTGAGAAATCATATGTTCCTAAATGTCAGACAATATAAGTACGTTCATGCTACTTTTTACTACAGTGACCTTATGACCCTTACCTAACCATTTTTTTGATGTTTTCCATAAAAAACAAGAGTCATTTGTTATTATCACTTTGGCTGATTTTTGTGAAGAAAATTATTGGAAACTCGAATTAAAGGGTTTGGAGTAAATGTAAGCCAAGGTGCACCTATTACAAGGGAAAGAAATATTCGAAATATTTTTAGTTGTAAAGGTTGAAGTTGCTAGATTATAAAAGGAGAGTAATGAAACTTATAAAATGCATACCATTTGTAAGGTAACAGTACACATTAGATGTGCTAGATGTGTCATCATCATCATAAGGTCGTCAGTCCTAAGACTAGTTGCACACGCACCTCCGCTCTGCTATCCTGAGCTAATCTTTGCATTTTCCTAAAACTAGAACATCCCACATCCTTAACTATTTACGAATAGTAATCTAATCTAGGTCTACCTCTACTCCACTTAACTTCTGCCTCTAATGCCTCTAGCTCAGCGGTCGGGGAACTTTTTTAATCATTACCCCAAAATATTTTTATGTAAGTTGATATTACCCCATGGCGAAGAGCAAAAAAAAACGAAATCGCCTCTTTTTAGCATCTTTCATATTATCCCCATGATAATTTTGAAAAGAAAACGTTAACTAAAAATTTAATTTAGACATCATTTATTCAATTTATCAATGTAATACCTAGTAATACATAACGGTAATAATAGTAATATATGTAATATACAGTTGAGGAAAAAAAATTCGCCCCCACAGAAAATATAAGTAAATGATAATTTCTTGTTATTTTGTAATTCATACGATATTTTTCTTGTCTTATTAGACGAAAAAACTAGTTTAAATTTTATATATGGCCCCCATAAAAAGTATTTTTTATTTTGGAGAAATGATGTTGTTTGATGTTGAACACTTAGTGGTGGGGAGTGAGATGGCGTGGCCTGCATATGTCGCTAAATTGTTTAAGTT